CAGTAACACTTACGAAATATTAGATGATATTATTAGATAATATTTCTTCAAGTGGACAAATATTTCTTATTTATATAACACCTCAAATTTTTGTTTATTTGATTCGCAGACATTTTTACTTAAATTTAAATTCAGACATTTATGTCTCTAATTTCCCAAATATCTACATCTAGAATTGAGATTAATCTTGTATGGTTCCTTGGACTTTACAGTTTTAATAAAAATGGAAGATAAATAATGCTGACAGTCACAGTGATTTAATTAACGAATTTCATTGGCGAAAGTGTGAATATTCGTCGCACGAGTAACCATACGATTCGACGTTGCACAGTCGAAGTCGAAAGAGCGTTAGTCGAGCCATTAATTTGTCGCGGCGAAGTTACGATCGCGGAACTTCCTCGTCGGGCTTACATTGCGAGAAACTTACGGTGCTACTTGCCGCGGCGAATGTATAATCACCGATTATCCTAACAAGTACGTGGTGGTGCATCGAGGCGACTAATTAAGCGATTATAGCATCCTGGGCGAGCTAACGAGTGTTAATCCATAGGCGAGTCATGCCTGTGGGAGCTCACAGGGTCAACCTGCCGCACGCCTAGCCGAGCACGACGACGAGTTTTCTCTCTTATCAATGTGCTTGTAGAAAATCTCATATCGCTGAAGATGCTACGCTTCTCTCGTTCGATCATGTATTCGCGTACAATACTTCGCAATTTCACTCTTTACTTGTTTTCGTAAAACATTATTTTACTAGCTTAGCTTTTATGAGATGACATAAGTATTCCATAGACTCTCTATGCATCTGAGAAAAGAGGGAGATAAAAAAAGAAATGCAGGAAAGAAAGGAAAGATTAATTATTTCAATCCTTTCTACACTTTTATGGTTTTCTCTTCATCATTTACCGATAATAGGAATCAATATCAAATTATGTTACCTAGGAAACATGTGAAATGTACTTATTGTTAGAAATATGTGTGTCGTCCTTTCTCGATATTGTTTCTCGATAAAATTGTTTTCTGTCCTATGTATTGATAATGCAACTGATAATAAGTTTTATCGTTAAATTAATTTCTACAATTTTATAAAAATAAGCATATATTTGTCTATAAAACAAAATAAATTTTCGGAATGTCTATGGACTAAATTTAATGAAGTAATAAATGTATTGAAACGCGTTATATGACTTGAGGTAGTCATCAGCACGTCTGGAAATTATTATTTTTAGAGAAATGCTCGAAAATCTCTCCAGTCAACTAATTAAGTGCGATTTAGCTGCCGATTAGATACATCAATCTACGTGACCGTATTACAGACCGATGGGTTCCTCGACCAATCCGCAATGTTCATCGTGGTAAAACCAAGAATAATAACTGACAAAGTGAATTTACGCACTATGGTAAGGCAGGAGCGTTATCCGCCTCACGGCCGATGACCGTTGCAATCGACGTTTTCATTTTAATAGAAATTGATCAGCGGAGAGCCGCGAGAATAAGTAGGAAGTTAAGGAGATGAAAGAGAGAGGCTGAAGGCGCGGAATAGGGGCGTGGGGTACGGCGGGGAGTGCGAGAGCAGGGAGGAAGAGGGGGGGCAAACGCGGCCATGTAATTAGAAATCACGGGGATTTACGGGGCATTGGGCAATAAATCCAAAAAGTAACGGCTAATGGCACGCATATTGACGTATCCATCTGGCTATCGTTCATCTTTCTCACGAGTCCCACACCACGCGCGCACGCCCCGTATACGCGACGCGCGCCTCGCGGCTACTCCGCGGCCCGCGCGAGCGCGGCTCGCTCTCGCTCGCGCGGTGAAGACGACGAGACGAAGAAATCGACGCCTCCAAAGTGAACAGGGCTTTCTTCTCGCTTGAAAGAAGGGGGAGAGGAGAGACGTCGCGCCGACCATAAGCACGCTTGATTTACGTTAAAAGCCGAGCTGGGCCCGCGCGTTGAGTCTTTATCGGGTAGGAGTGAGACGATGATGATGAACGATCGGCGATTTGTAGAGGCGATCGGCGAATGCGCATCGCGCATGCGAAACGGATATATGTGTACGCGCCCGAGCGAATCTGCTGATCATCTGCCACTCGTGGCCGATATTCCAAGTGCACAAAACGCAGCTTTGAGAAGCTCGCTTTATGTCGGTAAGAAAAAAATGGCAATCACAATCGTCTTTCAGAGCAGTTCGTTACGTGTGGTATACAATCGTATCAATTGTCGTTCTTTGATAGAACCTTTATATGTTGTAATTATAAATTTTCGTTATTTATCATATTAGAGATTTAGTTCCAAATCATTACTAAAACAAAAATTAATTTAAGATAAAAAAATTAAAACTTGATACGTTTAATCGGCTCTTATTGCCCGTATCAAGTTTTAATTTTTTTACTGATAGAGCCTTTACATAGCTATTAATTTAAGATCTATAATATAAAATTGAGATTTTATTATTTGTTCAGATTTTAGACTTACTTTTATTTATAGCTCCTTAATTTTCGGCATTAAATAAACAATATTTATTGACAAATTATTGTATCAATGTATTGAATATATCTATACATATAGCCTGACATATCATTTTATATATCATTGAATTTTATTCCACTAATGTCAGTATCTATAACAATAGTGCTGAATATGTTGCATTGTGTGGCAGGCGAGGTGGTAATTCTCCAACGAGCAGGCGGGATTAACGTCTTCATTCCGAGAGAAACCCCTCGCTCGCGCATGGTGCGCGCCAGTAATCGATCGGTTATGGTAATTCGAGCGAACGTCGAGCGAACGTGCGATCGTTAAAAAAGCTGCCCACTGTTGGTGGTTGCGGTACTCGGTGCAGCCACCACGCACTAGCGGCGATAAGCGGCCGCGATGCGTGCAGTTCGATTAACGCAACAACGGGTGCGTGAGCGGTCGTCCGTCGTGCATGAAAAGGGAGAAACCCGCCCACGCGGTCTACCTGCGATCGCAGCCGATCGCGGAGGCGATCAAGAAATCTATTTTGACGTATTGGTAGAACGACCGATGCTGTATTCGTTAGCGTTGTATCTAAACTGTCATAATCATTACGGTACTTAAATTATTAAAACGTCAAAAATAAATCCAGCTGTGAAATGTTTTACTCACATACTGTAAAATTGTTGTTTCTTTATTTATAAAATTAATGTAGCTATGTATCGTTTTTTATTGATGGTTTATTTCTTTCAATATTAACAGTACAATGTAAGTTGTTTTATCAAGGTATATAACATAGTACGCATATAATAGAGATTTATATAATGTTGTATAACACGCATTCGTTACGAATAACGCAGATAAGTAAATATATTATACTCGAAATATATTATTGATACACATTAGACATCAGGCTTTGGGTATATTAGCAAATCACGTCGTTATGATTAATTTATCATAATCTCAAGAACTGTCTGTAATTATGGGATAGAATATCGTAAAGTCATTGAACGATAAATAATGATAATGATAATGAAAGTCACCGTACGAAAGTTAAAGATAATCTTTAGTTTTGCTGTCATTTGAGTTATAAATTAAACTCTGCATAAGAAATTAAATAATTGATTAAATTTTTCTAATCCAGAAAATTAGAAGATAATAAAAATTGAACTTTGGGGTATTTAAAAGCGGAGAATATCATGGCTGCTTGTCAATGTTGGGCATTCTTATCGCGTTACCGCATAATCAATTGGATAATGCCATTATTATTATTCATATATGTTCAACAAATGTAAAGAGCTTTAAAATACTTCGCATTTATAGTATTTATGAAGCAGCACAATGCGTTTGTTGTAATCGTGTATCTCATAAAACTCTACACACCTCACTAGGAAACTAATATATTCGCGTATTGATTTCTCTCAGCTTGTATTTACAGTGCGATTTATATCTAGACGTTGTATCCGTTAATATAAAGGAATGGAAAGTCTTATTCTGCATTTAGCTTAAGCAGATTTTAGCAGCATTATATAGTTTAGAAGTTATTTACAAAATTAATTTAATTTTTGACAAAGAGACAATATTTCAAATTTATGAATGTATAAAAAAATTTGTGGACGCACAATAGAAGTGGAGAAAATATTTTAAGATTCTATATGTATCAATTACTTTTAAATTTATGTAGTCATGTTGATCTTTTGTCAATCTCGGAATATTTTATTTTGGAGACAATAAAATATATTTCAGATTACTAATCGGATTACTAATACTCTTTTTATCGATTTCTTCAGAAGGTATTTTTATTTGATACCTATATATAAAAGGCAATAAGTACGAAATTGATTAGTAATTAACTTTTACAATTTTCTTTTAGAACATTTCTTTTTACATTATTATGTTCTCAAACGTAGATCATCTTTAAGCAATGCTTAAGGGCGTCGGCTGTATTTAATGATCAGTAGTATATAGTTGGGTTACGACCCCGACGTCACGATCGCAGTAACACGGATGAAAACGAACTGTTACTCAGCATTATCTATTACGATCACGGAATTGTTTGTAATGTCACTGCTGGTACATTTCACCCCGTAGCTAAGAGACCTTATTCAAAGATGACCTACTCTCCCGAGGTAGGTACAACTAAAAGGATGTCATTTAATAATTTATATGCCGGGTGGGGAGATTGCAATCGGCAATCGCTCATCGTGAATCGAATCATGCTCTGTAATCAGCCGTGCTTGCCAACATTTTCTGCACCGTTGAGACCACTTATGTTGCGCCATCGCGTGTATCTGCTTACAATGTAAACACGTGAAGGAATAATATAATGCGATGCGCGCACAGACAAATCATCTTCTTGAAATTTGCAACTTTTTTTATTTTTTATTTTAGGTAGAAAAATTCGACACTCTATAGTACGACGATGTAACTTTGATATTACATGTGCAACAGCGACATATTTTCAAATACTTTTACATAGACGAATTATTTTGCACGTTAAATTTCAACTAATTGTAAGATACTAACGAATATTGTTCCGATTGTTTGTAGGATACTTGGACGTTGCCGGGAGACCGGTTATCGAATTCGAGGCTAACGTATCCACGAGGGAAGCCCTCTCCGTTAGAGAGACGTCGTCTTTTCTGCTCTACCTCGCTCGTCTACCCAGGTACGTTTCCCGTCGCGGTTGTTCGTTTCGTACGCATAATGCATCAACTTCGGCGCACGTCGAGAGATCACCATACGGTCCGCGCGATCGCGGGGATGCCGATAAATCAACCGGGATTATCACGAGATCAGTCGCGTGTGCGGGGCCCGCTGAACCGTGCCATAATTTATGAATTCGATTAGCGGGCGACGCGGGCTGTGCGATAATTTTTGCGAAGGGCGTTTTTTAACTCGCAAGAAAGTTCACACTTTACGGCCGCGCGGTCGCGCTGGCGCGAGACACCCATTTATTACGGCCGGCATCTGTACTCCTCAACGAGGCTGTTGTAGCCGATAATAACTGAAATTATCCGACTCCGAATTGGCAATTTATTAATCCCGGCCGGGACGGGAGGGAAGAAGCGCGCGCGAGCTTTCCGCTAAATAAACCGTGATCGACGCCCGATGTCGGTAATAATTATAATTTTCCACCGTCATGAAGTCGCGGGCACGCCCACTATAATCGCCAATGCGGAGCAGAGTCGCGGCTTACCGTTCTTCCCAGCTTGGCCGCGCATCACATCCCTCTAGTACAAGCTCTCTAACGAAGCTCTTCCTCTCGTTTGTAAGCTATTCAATTAACACGCTTACGACGTGCCTACCGATATAACGCTTTCTAATATCGGCGCAACAGCGATTAAACACATCGTGAGAACCGTATCGGAGCAAATCGACACCGATTCGATTACGGGAAACGTTTTACAAGCTGCACGTCTAATATTCAACACGATAGTTGTCAATTACCAATTATTAGTCATTAAGGGGATGCTGGAGACAGGTCTGTTTTACCACGAAATTTTCAGACACACAAATCTTTTGATTGATTTCACCGAATTAAAAATTTTTTGTCCAGAATTAAAGTATGAACGATAACGAAGACGGCAGGCACCAATTGCGTATAAAAAACGAAAAAAAATTAGAAAATTACATTTTTATTTTCGATTCTGCGGTCGACTCATGACAACATTTGCTGCAGATAAAAGTTTTAGACTGTGTACGTATACAAAAACCTTGCAGCCGTCACAGAAATACAATAAAGAAGAATCCTGTGCTTGCAGAAATGAGCTGCGAGCTTTAGTATAAGAGAAAAGTATGTTAGAAAATTTCATATGCACATGTTACGCGTCTCCCCGAATTCAGCCAAAAACTCTGCGCTCTGTATGTATGTGTAAGAATCGGTGAGCACTTCTTTATCGACGCTGGTCGAGTTTGCCTGCGCTCTGTATGTATATGTAAGAATCGGTGAGCACTTCTTTATCGACGCTGATCGAGTTCGCCCGCGACTCCAGCATCCCCTTAATTAATTGGAACCTCGACGGAATGGTAGCTCGTCAGGAGTATCCCTTGCCTCGAAACCCCCTCTACCTTGCCGTTCGGATTCGGCGTAGCTTCCATATATATACTTGTGTACAACCTGCGTGCGCACCATAAGCATACTATATATACTATTGCGCCATTGAAATGAATGAATTAATTAATTGGAACATTAAAAATTAAATTTATTTAATTAATGAGTATGAAATATATATGCAAGATCTATTTTTATGGAATGCATATTATCTGCTTAAAGTGTTCAATTGAACTTTATTTCAATATAAAAATCACGATGGATTGAAGAGATCTTACGCTTTTTTCCTGAAAAAAAATTCTATATTTATATTATTTTACTTCTTAAAGACGCAGATTCTTTTCATCACGCATCGCGGCTTTCGCTGCAATTACGCCTCTCGTCATTCGCGATAATCGCGATGTCCTTCCGCAATTCTTTGCGGCGCGACCGCATTCGCATACTCGCCAGCTCATAAAACACATCACACGCACGATAGCCGCGCGCCGGTATCGGTCATCATACGCGCGGCTTTATGGTTTTCCGTGCAACTGGTAACGCCGAAGTCTCACGCGCTTCGTCGGGAGGCAATCGAGCAAGAAGCGGGAGAATAGTATCGGGCGCGGCGGCGGAAAGAACGAGACGGAAAGCGGAGGAGCGAGAAAATCGCGGCGCTATTACGCTCGGGGCGTCTCTCGCTCGGCGAGAAACACGCCGATCTATCTTTCGGCATCTTCGACGGCAAGCGGAGCCCGGCGTCGTTTCCGCGTCGGCGACTCTTCCCCGCCGGCCTGGGAAAAAGTCTGGCGGAAAATTTCCGCGATTTCATCGACGCTATGTCTCTCGCTGCGTCATGTCAGTACTTACCGCCTTTCATCGGGTATCCCGGTGCGAGCTTAACTCATGCAGCTGATCGGCCGTCCCCGTGGGCTTCCTCGTATCGCGATATATCTCGATATACGCGGGATAATTAAAGGGATCTCTCTCTGGAAAAGCGTTGCCCGCTGCCGCTTTCGAACCTCGCACGAGAATTAATATATGAATTCACGACGGAGGAAAGATCGCCGTAACGAAACGTATCCTAGCTGACCGATGATTTCCCGAGTCGATATCGGTAAGGCGTGTTTGCGTGTTCGCGATACCGAAACTTGCGTAAACGAGACCTATCGCTCGCGTTCCCAGGATCGGTATATCCACGCCGAAGCGCGATACTTCTAATTTATCACGGCCGGAGTTATCGTCTCGCGTGGCCACAATACGCATTGTTACGTGTCGATATCATTCGTTGCCGGAAGAAAAGCCTGGCAGGCGCGCAGGCACGGCTTCGGGAACACGCGCGCGTGTTTCGCCACTTACATTGCACACGCGAGCTAATCTCCCGAGAGGGGCGCCGCGTGGAAATCCGCGACGAAAGCCGACGGTGTCATAATGATCCTCTGAGCGGAACACGATCGCCATAAAGCCATAAATCAGCGCGCCGGCTATATCGCCGCGCGTGGTGTGCGGCGCGCGGGATTCATTAGCATTTTTCCGCAAGTCGCAGTGGGAAAGTCGCGGAACGACGTTGACATAGCGCCTAAGCCGGGCTATCGGTGGCAGATTACTCGCGGATAAGCACGGCGGATGCAGATTTATTACGCTACCGAACAAAACGACGAAACGTCTGGGAACCTCGAGCTGAAACTGACCCCGGAGAATTTCCACGTGCGCGTGAACGCATACGGAACTCTACGCTTGCCGCGTTATCGTGCCGTGTATAATAACGCGATACGAACGACGGCACTCTTTCATCTCGTCGCGTAATCGCGCAGAAAATCGTTTAGTCGATAAACGAATCGCGCGTGATTGATGAGAATAATCGAGAATATGATTATAGGATAATATTATTATCCCATGGTATTAAATCCGCGATATCGACGACTATCGGCGTTGTTTTATCGACTTACAGGAGAAGCGCTGCGTAGAAATGCTCACCCTCTTGTCAATATTCACCTCAAAGTCGACGATTTTCACTTGCGTGTCGCTTCCTAGATCTGGCGAAACCTGTCTTGTACGTGGATCAGGTAGAAAATCGGCTGTGTTCCGATCATGCCTTAGTTTCGCGCGAATTGAAGGTGAAATGGCGAAAGCACGCGGTGTGTGTACCCCGTTATCGCGCATTAAGTGCACTCATCGTGCATGTCCGCAGGTATCGAGCGAAGTTTATTGGCTAATTGAAATTCGCCGATAGAAATATGGTGGGCGGCTCGTCAGCTAATCGACCGTGCGTTTCCGTTTTGATTGTACTTCCTGGATTTGCATTCATATTTACATATATTTGCATATAGCTATTATGAGTAAATCTTACCTGTGCTTCGGATAAAGTGTATCGTTTCCCAAGCTTTGATCTTCGTGGCTCGATAGATATCTTGTTTACGGAGTGCCTGCAATATAACGGCTTTTGTTAAAAGAATATTAAAATCCTTATAAGACAAAATGAGAAATTTTTTTTAACACTTTAAATATACAGATTGTGCTTGAAACAGTTGATAGAATCGTCAGCGTCACGTATTTTTCTACATGCTAAGTAAATTTTCAAACTGTTATTGAACAATAGCATTAAAAGAAGACAATTGTGGTCGACGTGGTAAAAGTAATGACAAATTGATGATAAAATCTACGGATCTTAAGGATCTATACGCGTGTAACGGGTCCATGCAACTTTCTTAATTCGAGATTGTCATAGTGCGAAGTAACAAGTCATGTTTCACCGCAGTGGCTTTTGCAGTGGCCGTCTTGAAAGCTTATATCTCACCCGGGAGAAATATATTAAGCGTCAAGCGAGACTCCCGCGGTTTGCGTTACGCGTAATAACTTGATTGGTCGCGGTGAAAGGTCGAATCACCAAAAGTAATTCGCGAATGCATTCGCCGAACGAAATTGACCTCGACTCGTCTTTCACCGTTAACTCGCATCGCCGCCGGTTTGTCCGGCGATGAATCGGAACTCTGATCGTTATATTAAGGAGGAAGGTGAGAAATTGACTGACGTGGGGGATACCCCCGCGCAAATTGTACGCGGTGTTAAAGTGCATTCATGACGAAGCGTCTTATTAACGCAATTTTATTCGTTCGTAAATTCGTAATACCAATTATATACCGTGGATGGTAAATAGTAATAAAAAGTGTCCGGACAATTTTTTTTTCTTCTCGGAACCAGCTTGTGGTATATGCGACGCGCGTGATTTTACGGACGAACGACGTGCGATTACTTTTGCGGGGAGGGATATCGATGAGTCCGGTAGCGCGGTATCGGTGTTCGCCGCAACCAGATACACCGCGACTAATAATTAATAGACGATCGCGCGAGTAAACGGTAAGCCGAGGAACATCCCGGTGGCTGGCAACCCGTCGCGTATGTATCGTGTATCACGTGGGACGTACTTAGAGTCACGAGCGGCAGATCGCAGGACGATAGGATCGCGGGGGATCTTCTTCGTTGATCCAGTTGTGCACCTGACCGCATTTCCGCATGAGTTATGGACGCGCATCAATCCTTTTATCCCTCCTTACGTCGCTCCCGTTCCTCTTGTGAAACCGACATGATCGTCGGCTCTTCCCGCCCTCCCGCCGACACGAGCCACCCTCGTTTCTGGC